ATTCTACTTGATTTGGAGACTTTTTTTTTTTCCTCCTCTAGACAGATGCACCTTCCTAATTCCTTGGAGTTTGGTCAATATTGAAATATGTTTACATTACCAAGACACTCACTGACCAGTGGGTAGAGGAAGCAGCTAGAAGATAAGGCACAAATTAACCCCTACCAACCCTCCCCACTCTACCTGTTCCTGCCCCAAGAAAACTGAGTTGCCTCTAATTAAATCTCCATCCACAGCAACCTTCTAGCAGAGGCTCTCAGCGGAGGAGCTGAACAGCATCGGGCGTCCAGTCTCACGGACTCTTACCTTTTTCAGCTTGCCGCTCTTTGTACCCACAAACACCACGCTGTAGCCGTTGTAAACATAGGACGCCACCGAGGTCATGCGGTCCCGGCTGGTGGTGTACAGGGTCAGGCCCTCCACTGGAATTGAGCCTCCAAGTGGCTGGTTGATGTCCAGTCCACAGAAGTTGTCATCGATGGGCACCGGCTGGAGAGAAGGGGAGGGACCTGGGGTGAGTAGCAGCGGAGGCAGGGCCGCGTTGATCCCCACCAGCCCACCCACCGTGGCCACCAGCCCCAGGACACCAGGCCTCCGAGAAATTCAGGCATGGAGTTCAGGGGCCTAACACACACTGCACACACAAACATCTCACGGCTGACCCATGAACCCCGCACTGACTCCTGTGAAACCAGACAGCTTTCTTCTCCCTCACCTGCTATCACCCACTCGCTTTTCTGCCAAGACAACCAGCGACAGGTTGCAAAGCTGATTGCTCAAACTCATTTCCTGGTCATTTACGTGTCCCTGTGGACCACGCCATTTGTGGCGGTCTTTCTATTTAGACAGTGGAGATTCAGTCTAGAGGCAACATCACAGGATTCCTACCGGCCTGGTGGCGTTCCTTATTTGTTTCCTGGACTACAAAAGCCTGCCTTCGGGCATAAGGAATTTTCAGTCATTCCATTATTCACCACATCCCACACTGGGGATATATTAAAAAGGGTTATCTTAATATTGAACAGTGCCTTATACTTTGGAAAAGTTACTTCATCTACGTGAATCTCAGTTTCTTCAGGTGTCACACTACCTGCCCACCTTTGTGAGAGAATCACTGGGGAGAAAAGGAAATAACACGTGCGAAGAGATTCGTTAAGTTGTACAATGTCACTGTCCGTTAGAGGTCTTCAGTGATGTTTCGGTAGATTCTGGGGGAGATGGTCTTCTTGTTAGCAGCCTTTTGCAGGGAGTGGAGGTATGCTTGTATAAAGAATATCTGTCATTGAATAAATTTTTTTTAAAAAAATTAAAGTCTCTTCTCTCTCAGAAGAGACTAGGGCACCTTGAAAAGACATTGCACCTTGAGCAAGTGGAAAAATAGCTGGACAGAAAGAATTCCAGTCTCTGCTCTTCTTCTATGTGAACTTTGATCAGTAACAGCCTCTTTGGGGACTGTTAAATTGATGATTTCTAAGATCTCATTCAGTTAAAAAAAAAAGACTGCATGCTTCCTGAGGACAGGGGCTGCGAGGGGGCTGCATTCTCTGCACACTGTCTAGCCTGGGGCTGGGCTATGACGGATCCTCCAAAACATCCCAGTTGATTGCACAACAGGGAATCCTGTGGGCAAAGGTTGCAGACTCTGGGCCAGAAAGAGCCCTGAGCCCTGTGGCAGCTGTTCCTCCTGGGTCTGGAAAGGCATCCTTGAGGAGGAAGGAAGTGACGGTCGTGGGAAGCACAGAAAGCATCATGGAGAGACCTGTTCCCATCATCCTTCTCCTCTCACCCACACCAGGAAAGAGCGGGCTGGTGTGTCGTTCCCTGACAGCTTCATTTCCTTGGAAGAACTGATTTATAAGCTAAATGGGATTTTTTTTGGTAAACCAGGGACTTCTCTTTCATTCCCTGTTCAAATCCAAAGAGAACAGAGGCTCATGTCTTGTGATTCCTTGGTGTTTTGTAGAGAGCTACTGCTCCTACAACTGAGTGGCGGTGCTACCCTTGTGTGTGTGTGTGTGTGTGTGTGTGTGTGTTTATTCTTTAGGAAAGAAAACTAACTTTTGGGTTAAGGATGACCTTGAATTCTGGATTATATGGCGCTCCACACGGCAGAAGGGATAAGCTTCTCAGGCAGGGAGTGAAGCAATGGTATAGTAGAGCCAGCTTATGAGGAATGCCTGTACCTCTATCTCTGCATTCAGTGACATCACACTGGTGGCTTGAAATTATCCATGGTGGGAGTATTTACACCACGGAAATTGGCAAATGCTTCTAATCAAGATCCTCCCACCCCAATCCCTTCCCTGCTACTACCATTGCCTGCATAGAGCCATGCATTTAAGATTCACTAGCACATCCCTGGAGCCAATGATGGAAATTTCAGGCTCCCTAGAAAGGTAGGTCAGAGGAATCAGCTACCACTTTTTACATTTTCTACTTCTCTTTCTCATCCCTACACCAGAGGCACAAGTGTCCTGATAAAGAATCAGGAAATCTAGATTGTAGTCCTGTCTCTACCACTAGCCAGCTATGTCATCTTGATATACCACATACCCACTTTGAGTCTGAATGCTCTCATCTGTAAAGGGAAAGGATTAGACCAGGTAATCGTCAAGCTTCCTTTCAGCTCTGAAAGTTCTTGATTTCATGGCTTCAGTTTCTTTCCCACTCTCTCCAGGGACCGCTAAGGTTGCAGAGCCTGGGCTCAGGCATAACCTAAGCCAGCTTCTGAGAAATGATGACAGAAGCCAAAAACTTGCCAGTGATTTTGAATTTCTCTACATCCCTCCTGACTCTAGAATCACCAGACTGTGACGGAAACGGTTTGTTCTGAGCCTAAGCCCCTGGGATTGGCTGGCATTTCCTTTTCTCGTCTCTAAATTGTCAGATATTCCCAAACACCTGCTGCCCCTTTACTTTTGCTCTGAAAGGGAGAGCCTGGTGTATGGCTTTCCTTAGAAGCAGCACGGCTAAATGCAAAGAGTTTGGACTCAGAGGTCATATGGGCTAAACTGAATTCAAATCCCTGCTGTGTCATTTATGGTTGTATGGGTGCAACCAATGTACTTAGTTTTTGTGTCTTTGTTTTTCCATCTGTCAAATGGGGGATGAAAATCCTTGCTTTATAGGGTCATATTGAGGATTAAGTGAGGTAACTCTTAAATTGCCCAGCACAGCCTTTAGGACAATAACTGTTATTCAATGGGTGACGCTCCCCTTCCTCATTTCTCTTCTGGAACAGAGCTCAAATCCTTCATCTGAGAGCTCCATGTTAGTCCAGAGATCACGTTAAAATTAAGCCCCGGGACGTCAGCTACCCTCACTCCTCCCTAACGCCCTCTGAGGCCACCAAAATGTCTCTGGGTCCCCAGGTCTGGGACTCCTTAGATTATAAGGGTTTTAAGGGGCCCCTCCTGTTGCAGCCCCACCTCCACCTCCACTATCAAGGCCGCAGCCGAAGAGTGATGATGAAGGGAGGGGGTGGTGAGTGAGGGGCTGTTCTCTCTGAGGTCCTGATCCCACCTGCTGTCACCTCTCTCCCAGTGCCTCTGCTGCTCTGTGGTTACTAGCCCGGGCTTGTCTCTCTGCAAGCCAATGGAGCCCCACAAGGGTGTCGGCACTTCCTCTTCCCTCTGGCTCAGCAGCAGGCAGGAATCAGCAGTTTCCTTCTGACAAGGGCCCCCTCTGGGCAGTGGGAACCAGGCTGGACTCTGCAAGGACTTAACCCTTGCATTTCCTCTCCACTTGTCTTGATTGGTTGGGGCCAGAGGTTATAGAATTTCAGGACTGTAAAGAACTTCGGAGAATATCTAGCTCAAACTCCTCATTTTATAAAGGTAAAATAACAGCAAATAACTGGTTCTATAATAATTAATATTAATAATTATAGCTGTCCTTTATTGCATGCTTATTATGGGCCAGGTATTGTGCTCATACATACTTGCTCCATTTGATCCTCATAATACCCATAAAAAGAGACTACTATTATTTCTATTTTAAAAATGAAAAAAAATACAGCTCAGATCAGGTACATAACTTGCCTAAAGTCACACAGTTTTAAATGGTAGGACTGATTTTTAAATACAAATCTGTTGGAATTCCAAGCCTACGGCCTTAACTACTATCCTATTGTACCAAGAGGCTGACGGTAGGAACAGAAGCATACCCTAGGCCTGATTTGTCTTTTGCTTTAAGAAGAGGTGTTTGGTCCCGGTAGCAGACACCCTCCATTTAGGGTGCTCAGAAGGCAGCCGTATGGGTCACTTGGTCTCAGATTGTTCCCCAGCTGCCGATCCAGTGTCCACAGCACTCTGCACAGAAATCTATCTTAGCACTTGTCACATGCGTAACAGTTAACTAATAATGCTCAACCTAACACGCCAGGCATGGTGTTAATCTTGCCACATAGTATCTGATCATCCCATGCGGTAGGCATTATGATTCCCATTTCACAGATGATAATGGAGAGATATTAAGTTACTCCTGAAGCAAGGAAGTCACACAGATAGAATTTGAACTCTGAATCCCAAACTCTTAGGTACTATATTACACTGCCAGCTATTTTTTCTTTCACTCTTTCTCCCATTAGATTACGAGATATCTGAAAGTTGTGATCATGTCTTTTTATGTTTGCATCCCCAGCTGGGCACTTGGAAGATCTTCAATACCTTCTTGTTAAGTGGATGGCTGGAGGGAGGGATGAATGGATGGATAGAGGGATGGGTAGATGGATGGACGGACTAATGGGTGGATCACGGTAACCACCTAGATGGCAGCATCTTGACCCTCTGACAGGACAGTGCTTTCCACTGACTTTCTTGTCTCTGCCATCCTCAGGTCTGGACCCCAAGCTCCCTTTCTTCTCCTTTTTCCCCAGTTTTCAAATTATCAGTCAAGCTCAACTCCCTTCTCGCTCCTCCAGCTCACATATCTACCTGCCTACTTTACTCCTTCACTTGGCTGTACAGTGGCCTACAGGGCCCTGTATGTACAGGATCTGGTGTGTGTTACCTCTGACTGGCTCATCTCCAACCGCTCTTTCTGCCACATGCTCGGGTCCAGCTGTAGTGGCCTCCTCGCTCTTCACGCTCTCCAGGCATGCCCTGCATTCTCTGCAAGAGCTACTCCCTCCCTCTCTCTGGAATGCTTTCCCAGATACCTGCATAGCTTACTTTCCTCATTCTTTGCTCAAATGCTGCTTTCTCAATGCACCAATCCTCGTGGGTACTGCCTCTCCCCACTTCTGTGCTTTCTTTTTCCCTACAGCAGTTGTCATCACTTGAGAGACGACATATTTTATGTATTAATCTGTCTTGCCTCACTAATGAAAGCTCCATGAGGGCAAGTAGCTGTGTTGTATGGTTCACCTCTGAAGCCCGGGGTGCTTACAACAGTGGCTGGTGGCGTAGAGGCCCTTGATTATACATTGGGAATGACTCCGCGCATCAGCAAACATGCCTCAAGTGTCTGGTATCCTCAGACTCTGTATTATGGGGACCACCTGGTAACGTGAGCCTGAGCACCTCTCTCATTTCAGGCCGTGGTGGTCTGCGGGCAGGGTGTGCAAAGGGGTGTGCAATGCCAGATGCCGCATCAGGGGTAGAGCAGGTGGGCCCTCCTTACCGCCTTGGTGCACTGCACGTCCTTCCCCAGCAGCCAGTTGAGCTCCAGGTTGCCCTCGCCCTGGTAGCAGGACTGCAAGCGCTCTTTGATCTGCAAGTTGATGGCCCGGATGGGGAAGGCACAGAGGGCGGAGTCATCCGGCGGGTGGTGATACTGCTTCTGCCCTTTGGAGAAGATGGCGAAGAGCACGTCGTCCTGGCCGCTGATGTTGAAGGCCTGGGCCAGCGAGTCCCCGGGCTTGGCGAGGTAAGCAGCCTGCAGGAGGCGATATTCCACCCCGGCCCGCGTGCAGCCGAAGGGCAGGGACACGTAGGAGTGGAACTTGGGGTCGTCCTTGCAGAGCCTCACGATGCGCGAGGTGTAGAAGAGGTCTCCGGCCGAGTTGATGGCCACGCCCTCGGGGGTCTCAGGCTGGACGGTGAGGAAGTAGACGAAGCCCCCGCTGGCGAAGCCGTAGATGTAGAAGATGTCAAAGTGGGCGACCAGGGCCAGGGTGTCGGACGGGATCTTGATGAGTGAGGAGACGAAGTCGCTGTGGAGCTCGTAGTCGAGCATGGCGGAGGACTCGGGGTCGCGGGGCAGCTTGCGGCTGGACAGGGTGGGAAAATAGTCCTGCTTGCCGTCCACAGCAGTGCCGATGAAGAGCTTGCCGTCCTCGCCCTCGGAGCGCACGATCACCCCGTACATCGTCCCCGTCTTGTTGACGCTGGACAGGTAGTGCTCCTTCTTGTGGGACGGCTCCACCAGGATGAAGAGGTCGTCCAGCCGCAGCAGCTTGCAGACCCCTTGGTACAGGCTGCCGCAGGCCAGCAGCCGGTTCTCGGAGTAGTCGATGATGAGCAGCTTGTTGACGTTGTTGGTAAGCGTGAGCACCTCGCTGCAGGGCTGAACGATGAGCGGCGGGTAGCAGGACTTGTTGTCCTCCTCCGGCCCCGTCTTGTGAGCCACCTGGATGGTCAGGTTGCCCGTCAGCTTGTACACGCGGTTGATGGCCCCCACGTACACTGCCCCCGTCCCGCGGTGCACCGTCAAATGGTTGAAGGTCCAGTCCCGGTTCTCGGAGTGGAAGGTGCTGAACTGGGGCATGCCGGCCGCCGGGGGTGCCAGCAGCACGCAGACGGCGGAGAGCAGGACCACAGGCCAGCCGTCCACCTCTGCAGCCCGCGGCCAGGGCCTCCTCTGTTCCATTCTGAGCCGGGCGGGGACCAGGAGACAGAGCCTGTGAGCGCTCGCGTACTCCGCCTTCCTGGCTTGGCCCTTACATGGTTCTGGAAAACACAAGGCAGAGGGGTCAGATGGAAAATAAATCCCTGGAGGAGTGAACAGGACTGCTTGACCCAGGTCCCAGTGCCGACTAGCTCTGTGAGGCTCTTTCTTCTGTATTTCAGTTTTTCTATTTTTAACATACTTTCTCCCTCTTCGGGATGTTCAGGGAATCCTATTATCTATTTTGGTCTCCAGCCTTTACGCTGTAAAATGCATTTTTTTTTAATAACTTTACAAAGCATCTCTATTTCTGTCCTCTTCAGATATCGTTTTTATCTCTCAGAGAGGTTAAACGGCTGAGTTCACCCAGCCAGTTGATCCTGGTGTCGGAACTAAAGCCGGACTTCCCCACCCAGTCGCTGGGTCTGTCCTCCTGTTCTCTCCCAGTCCAGTGGAAATCTCTCCTGTCTTGTGAAAGCTGGTCAGCAAGGTCCTCTCCCAGGCTCTCCCAGGCAGCTATTCCGAGTCTGATATCACAAATAAAATTCTTTCTTATTTCAGACTTCCAGCCCCTCACACTGCTGGCTTCCTTCCTCTTTCATGCTCTGTCCCCTGTAGGGAAGGAGGAGAGCTGGTCATCCTGAATCACAGTGCCTCTCGCTGCCCCTTGACCTCGTCCTCTCTAGAAAGAAGAATCCCTGATCATCAGCGGTTAAAACTCCTTCAGAGTGTGAGGTGGGACTGGGATCCCCACAGGTGCTGTTCAGGAGCCTGCAGAGCCCCAGGGAGAAGGGCGGACAACCCCCCACCCCTCCTCCTTGGGACAGGAGGGCATCAGCCACTGCCTCCCCAGTAAGTGGGGTGCCAGGTCCTGGGGAAATTGCTTCCACTTCTGCTTCTCTGCAGGTGGAGCACAGGGGGAGGTGGCCTCCTTAATCACGGGGACTGGCTGGCTGAGTCCAGTCTCAGCCACCTGGGCAAGGGTTCCGGGTTTGGGAGATGTGGAGAGGAGCAAAGGGAGGCAAGTTGAAGGTCAGGCTCACTGTAGCCACTGCCGGGGCCTTGTGATTGTTTAAGGCTCCGTGTGGCCGACCTCAGGCTGCCTGTCCCAGCCTCATCAGTCCCCTGCCCCGACTTCTTTCCTCCCTCTCTGCCCTCCCAAGCCCCAGGCTGCACAGCTTTTCCTCCTTATTCCAAGGAAGCTGCCCAGAGGGGCAAGGTGGTGTTCCTGCGAGAGCTTCTCTAGACTCCTCGGCAGAGGGTAGAGAGCGGAGCCTGTCCCATCACTCTGCCAGCGCTGCTCCTGACTTCTATGGAGAGGGAGGGACAGCGGTGGCAGTGGCGGCAGCAGTGGGCAGCAGGCTGTCTAGCAGAGGGATCTTTTCTCCAGCTGGATGGAGTGTCTGACAACTTCCTCGGACAAGTCCAGACAGAACTCTGGGCAATGAGGCAGCAGGAGTGGAAACACTCAAGCCAAGGATTAAGAATGTGCTCCAAGGCAGCTTAGGAGAGTCCTGTGTCCCTTCGCCCCCAACCTGGCTAGACTGGGCTGGAATTAAAACAGATGCCATCGGCAGCATCCCCATGGCTTTCGCTCTGTGTCTTTAGAAACTCTCCCTCGTCCTCCTCAACTGTGCCTCCCATGCCTGACAGCCATCACGGTGCCAGAGGGAGGCCCCACCTGACGGCTCTCCTCCAACCGGGCCTCACCGGGGTGTTGTTCTGGTGTGACTCATCAGGTCCCGGGCTTCCTTGGAAAGAGGGAGGCGACAGCGGCATGAGGCCCAGGCTGACCTCAGAGACTCTGACACAGCCCTTCCGGCCCCACGTGCTCACCGGCAAAGCCTCCCGACAGACAGAGCTTTCGGTTTGGAGGTTATTTTTAGCTATGTCCTGGGGCCAGTAGCAGGACGTGAATTCCTCAAGAGGAGCCGTGGAAAGGAAATAACAGAATGCTCACATTCTCCAGCTGGACAGGGAACGGCAGGAGGCCGGGCTGTGCATGCCCCTGTCTCTGGGTAGGAGAGCTCCTTTGCCTACAGGTGGAGGGCTGTGTGTCCCCAAGGAGCCGTGAGGATTCTAATCATCACCACTGATGCACTTGGGCTGTGCCTTTTAGACAGTGCTCTGTGAGACACCCTGGCATCGAGTTTGTGGGCAGTGCACCCCACCTCCCCCAGAACGTACATGCACATACATGCTTAGCCCATGGCTGGAGGGAAAAGGTCCCAGTAGAAGAGGTGACACCAAAGGACACGATTGTGAGGTTAAGATCAACTATCTCACCTCCCTGCCCGATATCCTCCAGAGACACAGTTTGAATAAACAGTGAGTGGCTTTTGTTGTTAGGAAGAATTGGGGAAGAAATTTGGGACCTTGGGCAAGTCCAGTCTCATCCCCCTTTTCTGGTAGGATGGGATAATTACAGCACCAGCCCCTCGAGTTGTCATAGAGTAAATGAGGTAACGCGGGGAAACCTCTTAGCATGGGAGCTGGCACTCAGTGAATGCTTAACTTATGGAGTTATTATTATCACTGAAGCCTCCCCAGGAGACTGCACTTCAGGAATCCCGCCAGACCTCCTGACTTCTCTTTTTGCTCGTATTCTTCCTTTCCATGGGAATGAATGCTGTGGGCAGATCTTTGATCCCCCTCCCTGGCCCAGTGAAGGGGCACAGACTGGGAAGCATGAGTCAGAGGAAGGGGGATAGATCCAAGGTGATCGTCTCTAGCACACTACTGCACAGGTCCCAACACAGCCTCTCTGCAGCCTGCAGGGAGCCCGGCAGAGGTACAGGATCCTGAGAGTTCAAGTATGAATGGCAAAATTGGCCTGGTGGCTAGAAGGTATGCAGTCATGGGGCAGGAGGAAGAGTGAGGGACTCGGCGAGCCCCGGATTCATATCCTGCCTGTGTCACCCATGAGTTGTATAGCTTTAGACCGGTCTAGCATCGACCTGAGCCTATTTCTTGATCTTAACATCAAGGATGTTAGAATTAACCAGTTCTTAAGATTTCTTCATTCAGACAAAATGATACCTTGAGACTTGTCTGCTTCAGCTTCCAGAGTCTATGACTGCAATGGCAGCTGAGGTTCTTTTGTCCTACTGGGTAAGGCTGGTGAAGTTCAGAGTTCTCAACAGACCAATAATTGGGCTATTCTCCTCTCACCCCTCAATCAGCATCTACCCTGGGACAGACTGCTCCGGGTGACCGGCCACACAGATTCATTCCATGGCACTCAAAGATCACCCACTTGGGAGCAGTAGGCACTAGTGCGTCAGGGTCAAGAGGAGACGTGGTCTCTTGCAGTGCAGGGGTGGCAGAGGAGGCTTGCATTCCACCTTGGAATTCACAAAGACAACTGACTTCAACAGCAAGTTGAGAGCCCCTGGCTTTCCAGGCCAAGGCTGATGCTATCAGGTAGCTCTTCCAAAGCAGGGCCCAGCTGGCAAGGATCAAGCCTCCCGTCTGAATTTGGAGTAAGGGGGAAGGGCACCCACCTCTGAACCTCTGACGAGAGGCAATGTGGTGTAATGGTTAGACTCATGAGCTCTGAACTTAGATGCTTGGATTCAGAGGCAATAATAGCTGTGTCAACTTGGTCAGGGTACTTAGCCATTCTCTGATGCTATCTCACTATTTATATATAATGAGATTAGCACTGGCATCTACCTCATAGGATTATTATGATGAAGTCCTTTAATACATATAAAGCACTTAGAACAATGCCTGGTCTGTTATAAGTGTTCAAGATACATTAGCCTTTATCAGTAATAATTTATTTCTCAATATTCCCAGCTCTTGATTTCCACCCATTCCGTGGTCGGTCTTAGAATGACTTTGGTAGAAGCCAGTGAACACACACCTATGACTCTGTAGACCTAGCATTTCCTTCTAACCCCAGTTTTCTGCTAGTGTCAACCTCAGGGGTTTTCTCAACGATGCCTCCTTCCCGTCCCTTCTCCTCTCTCCGTCTAGTTCATGAAGTCACTGTGTCACATGCATTCTCAAGAGCCAGACTTGCCAAGTGGCTGTCCTCCTACCAGTTTCCCTCTCCCCCACCCCAAGTCTCCAACCAGGACGTGCTGCCCCGGGATGCTCGCCCTATCAGCGAAGCACGCAAAGCATTCCTGATGCCAAGAAGAGCCCACGCTTTCCTCTTTGGGAAGCAAGTGTCACTAAATATTTTATTTGGAGGGCCTGGTGACACCATCTCCCCGATCAGGATTCAGGAGGCAGGTGTTGGTGACAGCTAGTGAAGGCATCTAATACCTTCCTGATCAGCTGCTGTAGGCAACAGGGGCAGAGCAGGGAAGAAACGACAATTAGGCATTTCCAGCTCAGCTCAGTGCCAGAGTCTTTCCTTCCTGTGACCCGCCCTGTGGCCTTTTTTAGGAGATCTGGGGGAATATGCCTCTATGCTTACTTGGCCTCCCTTATTGCAAAAGGAAGGAGGAGGAGGTAGGAAGAGGAGTTAGGATCAGGATACAATTTTGCTAAACTGAGTAAAAGTTCATGATGGTAGAGCTCCCACTCTTGGACCCATCTGTAGCTCTTCCATCATCAGTATCCTCCATCATTCTATCATCACTGTCACCATCATTATCACCACCACCTGCACTGTCATCACCAGCACCATTTTGGCTGTGACAGTTTTCATAACAATAACAGTAAAACATGCCTATTAATACAACCGCACCTACTAGGTGGCTCACATAGCCAGGATCCAAATGGTAAGTATGAGAATGAGGGCTGTGTACTATTTACAATAGCCAAGACATGGAAGCAACCCAAGTGTCCATCAACAGATGAATGGATAAAGAAGATGTGGTATATATATACAATGGAATATTACTCAGCCATAAAGAAGAATGAAATATTGCCACTTGCAGCAATGTGGGTGGACCTAGGGAATATCACACTAAGTGAAGTAAGTCAGACAGAGAAAGACAAATAGTACATGATATCACTTATATGTGGAATCTAAAAAATAAATCAATCCATATACAAAACAGACACATACTCACAGACATAGAAAACACATTTATGGTTACTAAAGGGAAAAGGGAGGGGAAGAAGGACAAATTAGGAGTATGGGATTAACAGATACACAGTACTAATATATATAAAATAGGATTTACTGTAAAACACAGGGGACAATATTCAATATCTTGTAATAACCTATAATGGAAAGGAATCTGAAAAAGTATATATATATATATATATATATATAAAAAACTGAATCTCTTTGCCATACACCTGAAATTAACACAATATTGTAAATCAACTATACTTCAATTAAACAAACAAAGAAAAAATGAGCGCTGTGAAGTCAGAGGAGTTAGCACCTGTTCCTGGGCTTCACCCCAACCTCTTCCCTCTCCCAGGGCAGGGAAAGGTCCATCTTCTCCCCCAGCTTTCCCTTCTAATTAGTGGCACCTTTAAAGCAGGAATTCAAGTCTAGCACTGCAGCAGACTGTAAAATTACTCCAGTCCACTTCTTTTTTTTTTAAATGAAGAAACTGAAGCCTATGGAAAGAAAACAGATTGTCCAAGGTGACCCAACATGACTCAGGGACAGGCTTCCATCAGAACCTAGACCTTGTGACCAAAGGTCCATTGCTTCCTCTGCTGTAGGCAAAAGAGTCCAGGGAGTCAGTTATGTTCTGCCTCGAGGGTGCCCTGTTTTGGGGAAAGAAGGTGCCTTTTGATCGTGGTGGCCCCCTGATGGGCAGAAGTGAGCCTGGGACTGGGCCTGGACAGGGAGGTGGTGTGCAGGGCAGACTCAAGGATGAGCGGATTAAGGGGCAGGGGAGTGAAAGGGACACCAGAATGGCTCCCTTCTGTGTTGGGGGGATGACCTCCTCCAGGCCAGGCAGGTCCAGGCAGTTGTCACACACAAGAATGGCACCTATACTGTGACTTGGGGGCTAAGGTGTCCTGTACCATATGCCTCTGGGTTGTAGACAACCCCATAGACAGGTCAGATGTTATCCAAGCACAGGCACTTTCTTTTTCTCAAAGACTTAGAAATGCAGCCGAAGGGACTAGAGTGAGATATCCAGGGGGACATCCTATCTAGAGAGGATCCCTGGGGCATCCTGCCAAGGAGATGATGGAATTTTCTGACATTGAATTTTCCTGACAGCTGTTGAGGAATATGTTTACTGAGAAGCAGGGGATTGGTCCCAGTGACCCAAAGAGGCTGCCTTTGGTATATGAATTAAAGTCTATGAGGATAAAATGTCTAAATGCACAAGGCTGGGGCCCTGGCTCATCCCCTGTGGATGGAACGATCTTGAAGGACCCGTCATAGTGTCATCTTTGGGGTTGTACGTGAACATTCCAAGTGTCACTCTGTCGAACAGCGACCTCAGAGGTAGTCCAGGCACGTTGAGTAGCACAAGGTGAATGCCAGGGCAAGCGCAGAGGCCGCGGGTAACACCGACAGCTGGAAGGCCTCAATTAGAGTGAAAGGAGTTATCTGGTATTTAAATAATTATTAGATGGAAGGAGTAATCATGGGTTTGAGCTGATTTTTTCCCCCACTGTCACCCTGATGGCGTCTATAATATATTATTCAAATGCCCATGATGCTCACTGAGAAGAGACCAGAGAGAGGGGAGAGATTGGGAGAGAGAGGTGGTGGTGGGGAGGCAGGGGGTGGGAGAGAGACTCATTTAATCTCCATGTGACAGGGCTGCAGGAGGTACGATTAGTCTTTTTCTTATTTCAGCTGTCACTCAGGCACAGACACCAAGATTGTTATTAGCGTATT